TCACCAAGTCATCTTGCTGACCTTGATTTTTAAATTCTTTAAGTGTTTCACTTGTCTACATTTTTAATCAAAGATTAAATATTAGTAATTTTTCAAATCATTCTAACAGCCTGAAATATTTGTTTATTTTATTTTTATATAAATTTTATTTAAATTAGGAACCATCTTATTTTACATATCAATCCCAGTTCCCTCCCATCTTCCCATACCCCTATAAAGACCCCCCCATCCCATCCCCATCCACTTCCCAGGGAGGGTGAGGCCTTCCATGAGTGATCATTAAAATCTGTCAAGTCATTTGGGGCAGGGCCTAGGACCTCCCCTAATAGCCTGAAATTTTACATATAAACAGACTCCACATTAAACTATAGTAATAAAGTAAAACTCATTACTTTTTACAGTTTCTGTAATATATTATTTTACTTCTGTAATGTGTGCCTGCTCAGCATACTAATTTGTATTTAAAGATAAATTCCCAAGTTTTCTCATTCTTAACATATTATTAGGTGCTTGCTCGAAAAACAGTATAAGGTTAAAATTTTTTACATTTCTAGCTATAAATTAGTGTCCTAGTTTGGTTTCCTATTGCAGTCATAAATACTGTGACCCAAAGGGAGTTGGAGAGCAAAGGGCTTATCTGGCTTGCACATCATGACTTAGGGGTCTCATTGAGGTAAGTCAGGCCATGAAATCAGACAAGAACAGAGTTATAAAAATGGGGGTAATGAGCTTACTGGATTGTCATGCATGGCATCCTCAGCTTGATTTCCTATGCAGCCCAGAGCCATCAGGTTCAGAGGTGTCACCACCATCTTTGAGATGGACCATCCCATATAAGCCATCAATCAATAAAATGTTCCAAAGATAAAACATCACCCAATCTGAGAGAGGCAATTCCTCAACTGAGGTTCTCTGTTACCAACTGACTTTAGTCACCATTGAAAAAAACTAACCAGTACAATGAGTATCAGTGATAACTGATAGAACCATACTTATTAGTTTACTCTAAAGTGACTTTCAAAAGTTAAATGATTGTAAGCAAAGTTTGCTGGTTGGACTGATGGCAACATTACACTTGGGTTGTTTTCTATATTATTTTTCTCCCTTTTTCTTTTATTGGAAGTAGTTATTTTCATATAATATATTCTGATTACAGTTTCCCTTACCCCAAATCCTCTCAAATATTACCCATCTCCCAAACAACCTGAATCCACACCATTTCTGTCTCTCCTTAGAATACAAATAGTAATCTGAAGAATAATAATATAATAAAATAAACAAACAAAGAAACAAATAAATAACACAAATAAAATAAAATCAGAAGAGCTGAAACTCAATTTTAGTGAGTAAAAGTTGATAAGTGAGTACATCTTCTTTAATTTCAAAAACACTTTAATAACATTTCAGTGAAGGTAGATATGTAATGCCACATAATTTCAAATCACGAAACTTGGAGCCCACAGACCTTTGTGTACCATGAGTTAGTACAGTGTAAACAAGCTGTGATATTCTAATTATATTAGTCTTTTGAATTATTAGATTTATATTGTAACTTAATATATGAAGGTCATATCAATTTTCATGCCTCCTTTACCAACAGATAATATTAAGTATTACGGTATGTGATTGTTAGTATTATTTTAAAATTTAATATAGGAGTCATACAAGTATAGTAAATCACTTTCTTACTAAAATGTTTTAGTTTCTTTTTTATTATTTAGAGATCATTTTTTTGTGTTTAAACCATGACATCTTGCTATTGTGCTTTTCTATTATATTGTTCTTGTCTAGATGCTTCAGAAATACTGGCAGAGACCATTTGGGAATTATCACTTAGATATTGACTAAGTCAAAGCAGAGATTTACCCCCTGTAGTCCATGTACACATTTAAGGACAAAGTACCAGTGTCAAAATTGATGCAACATTGTAGTGTGGCACATTTCACTTAGATCAATAATATTACTTGCTGCAAGAGATTTTTACTGAATTGGGTGATAAATATATTACTACATCATAGAACACACTGACAATTTGGGGAGATATTCTTGTTGACTTGTGGTGAATAAAACTCAAGTATCTAAGGATTCCAAGTTACAAAACTAGAAACATACATGTCATTGGTGTAATCAGTTTTATCTGTCCTGTCCTGTCCAATAGCCACTTGCAAATAATCACTCAGAGGCTTATATTAATTATTAATGTTCAATCAATATCTCAAACTTATTACTAGCAAACTCTTTCATTTAAATCAACCCATATTTTTGTTTGCCATGTCGTTCTTGGCTTGTTACCTCATTTTCTACACATCCTGTTTGCTTGCTGGTTGGCTGGCATCTATAGCAACTTTGCTCCTCCTCTTCTGAGTTCCCAAGTCTATTGTTCCTCCTAACCTTATCCTGCCTAGCTATTGGTCAAACAGCTTTTATTATTAACCAATGAAAGGAATGCGTATTTACAATATAAAGAAAGATCATCTCACAACAATTGGTTACATACCAGAACAATGGTAAGCAACTCAGCCTTAAAAGACAGACATTTGTCAAGAAAATTCAACGAACTTCATTGTTAGTGAAATTATGCTTTTAGCTACAATCCTTAAAAATGAATATTAAAACTCAAATAGTTATTATAACATGAATATATAACTGTCTTAATAGATCATTTTAATAGAAAGACATTGAATTTTTACTGCATGACAAATACATATATGTATATTCAGGACTTCAGTTATTTAATATCTTGATTGCTATTTATATGATTCTTTATATATTTTTAGTATATTTTGCTAAGCATATCTAAGCATAACAGATATATTCACCTTAAGTAAAATCTAGAACACAAAGATTCTAACTGATGAATAATTGGAGTAATCAACTTGGCCCTCTTATTATGACACGTAAGAATTTCTTTAAAATTTTTACTTTACTAAAAGAATAAGTGTGGCAAGTCACACTAAAAACTATGAGTGACTTAGGTCTAAGGCATATGCATTGTCAAAAATGGCAGAGTCATAGGGCTGATAAGAAGGTAAATCCCTGGCTCAGATTCCATAACTATGTGAAGACTCGCTATAAATATGAAATGACAATAGCTCAGGCATAACACAGAAAACAAGAAAGCAAAGCCTTCAATAAAATGTTGCATTATGGTAATTATGTGATGATAACTCTTTCCCAACAGCCTAGTCCCACAACCTCATCAGCCCCTAAGAACACTCAGAGACTTATATTAATTATGAAACTTTTGGCCAATGCCTAGGGCTTCTTATTGGCTAGCTCTGTCTTAGTTACTAACCCATTTATATTAATCTGAGTATTTCTACGTGGTTTTATTTTACTGGAGAAAGGTCTGGGGACGTGTTACTCCTCTGGCATTCTACATGGTGATTGTCCTCTGCCTACACTTCAGAGAATCCTCCTCATCTCCTAAACCCACCTATCTTGTTGCCCTATTAGTCACAGTATTTTATTCCACAACCAATAAGAAAAACATATTTACAGAATGACATCTCCCATCAGAAGTGTATGTGCACTTGTCCCCATTTAATGTAAAACTCAGTAACCAACAGAGTGTAACTGAAATGCCTCAGCTGTTAGGCCATTCATGTTCTTCCATAGCAGTAACAATAAAACAGTCACACAAAGGCATAGTCATTATTTACCAACCAGTTATAACCCTGATACATACCTTTGCCATCCCATGACCCTACCATTCTGATTTTGTGTGCTCACTTTTCTTCCAGAAATTTCTCTCCCTCTCAAATATTTTGCACTTAACATAATCTCTATAACTGTAGAAAACCCAAATTTTATTAGGCTTATGAAAAGATGACATTGTCAGTGCACAAGGTAGTATATTAATGCAGATGCAGCAGTAAACCCAAAAAGTGATGTTGCCAACAAGCTCCATGCTTCCAGTAAATGTGGTGTCTGCTCCTGATCTCACTTGGCAATGTCAAGCAGTGAATAAGATAAGGGTAAGTACTGACTTCTAAATTTATGAGAACATGAGAAGAAGCCCATTGGAAATCTTAGCAATGAATGTGCTTTACATTGCACTCTTTTGCAGATATTCTTGATTTTGATGCATTTTTCTTTTTAAAATACAGGAATATAATCAAAATATTTTGATTTGGAAATTTGTAGTTGCACACATGGTGGACTATAGTAATATAATTCAGTTCTTCAATAAAAAATCAAACTGACTGACATTGGCTTTACTTATACTTATTTAAGTATATATACTCATATGTTTACATTGTGATGAGAACATTTGAAAATGCTCCTGGGAAATTTTGAAATGAGATAGAATATTGTGAAATATAATTATCATGCTATATAAAAGATCTCATATAAAACCTTATTCAATATCCTAACTACCATAATTTCTCCACTAGCACCTGTAAGCACCATTTATTCTAACTTTCTATGTGAATCATTACATTGTGTATATAAAATGAAGTGTCATTTGTCTTTCTTTTCCTAATATATTTCCTTTTGCATAATGCACTTGATTGCATATATACTAGTAGAAGGGACATGCTTTCCTTCTTTGAAGGTGTAGAAGTTTTCTACAGTATGTGCATAATATGGATTATTTCCTCTATTTTTGGTAAAACTTTAGGTACACTGAATATGTGGACTAAAGAAATGCAGTTAAACCTTTGAGATGCCGACTTTAAATCTTTTAGAAGAAGACTTATGGTTATATGGTCATTACATTTTCAGTTTGTGAGATCTCCTATAGTTTTCACTTATAACCGTGCTAATTTACATTCTCACTAAAAGTTTATGAGCTGCTTCCATTTTTTTGCTTTCTTTTTTCACTCATTTAGTACATTTTTCATTAATTATACGCTTTTTCATATAATGTATGTGTTTATAAATCAGGCAATTTTATTAAGCCAGCATCCTTTGTTCTAATGCTTCTTGTTGGCATCTGCCACCTGTCTGGCAATTCTGTCCAGATTTCTCTGTCCCTGAGGTGTTAGTTTGCAGGCTCAATCTTGGTCCTTTTCCACCATTTTCAGCCCCTCCAGGCCTTGGAGGAAGCGGCGGGCCACACTCTTGGAGCCTCTGCTGAAATGGCTGGGCCTGACACCTTTTCGCTGCTCTCCTCCATAGACCTTGGTCATGGAGCCAACCCTGGCACCATCGAGGAGGTACAGGTGCCGTGCCCTGGAAGCAGCTCTTGTGTAGAACCAGTTCTCATCACAGGGGGCAAGTTCTTTGTATTTGGCCAGCTTGACTGTGTCCACCTGTTCGCAGACTTTCAGCTTCCCAGACTTTTTGAGGAAGGCTGCCAGAGCTCTGATGAACTCCTGCTGGTTCAAGTCTTTTATAGTAACTCCAGGCATTGTGCGGCCTCTGCACTGCCAGCCAGGGGAAAGGGCAATATAATGTATTTTGATCATATTCTTTCCCCTTCCCAAAGTTTCCCAGGTCCTTCCTAGCTCCATACCCATCCAATTTCATGTTCTTTTTCTCTCTCAAAATTAACTAATTAATAAAACATGAGACAAATAACACCAAACCACAACAAACAAAAAAATCATGAAAAAACATGGAGTATGATTTGTAGAAATTTAGTTTACTGAGAATAAGTTCAGTAGATCCATAAGACATATGCCAGTTCCTGCTAGTAATGGTGTCTTAAGTTGCCAAAGAACCTAACAATAGTGCCTATATCTAAAAGTCCTGCCATATCTCACATCTACGATACTTATAATCAAACTTCACAGTATGATGATTTTAATAATCAGCCATTGTGTTTAATCCTGGAATCCAAATTTATAATTATCCCATATATATAAGGAATATAATTCTCTAATAGTCCAATAAAGTGTTAATGGGCTTGATTCACTCAAAATCCCATTCTAGTGGAGTTATTTTGTGTAGTTTCTCCTCCCTTTTTCTTTTGGTGTTTGGTAAAGTGGGGTTATCTATTGCCTGTGTCTTTGTGAGTGTAGTTATCTTCCTTGGGTCTAGGTTTTCCTTCTAGCACTTTCTGTAGAGCTGGATTCATGGATACATATTGTTTAAATCTGGCTTTGTCATGGAATATTTTGTTTCTCCATCTATGGTAATTGAAATCTTTGCTGGCTATAGTAGTCTGGGCTGGCGTCCTTGTTCCCTTAGCATTTGTAGGACATCTATCTGTCCAGGGTTTTCTGTCTTTCATAGTTTCCATTGAGAAGTCAGGCGTAATTCAGATAGGTCTGCCTTTATATGTTACTTGGCCTTTTTCTTTAGCTGCTCTTAATATTTTCTCTTTATTCCATAGGTTTGATGTTTTGATTATTATATGGCGAGGTGACATCTTATTCTTGTCAAGCCTATTTGGTGTTCTGTAAGATTCTTGTATTTTTATAGGTATATCCTTCTTTAGGTTAGGGAAGTTTTCTACTATGATTTTGTTGAATATGTTTTCTGTACCTTTGAGCTGTATTTCTCCACCATCTTCTATACCTATTATGCTCAGGTTTGGCTTCTTCACGGTGTCTCATATTTCCTGGATATTTTGTGTTAGGGATTTTAGGTTTTGAGATTTTCTTTAGGTTGACAACTCTATATCCTCTAATGAGTCTTCAACACCTAAGATTCTGTCTTCTGTCTCTTGTATTCTATTGGTGATACTTGCATCTGTAGTTCCTGATCATTTACCCAGCTTTCCTATTTCCAGCATCCCCTCATTCTGTGTTTTCTTTATTGTTTCTATTTCAGCTTTCAATCCTTCAACTGTTTGAGTTGTTTCCTTCATTCGTTTGGTTGTTTTTTCTTGGTACTCTTTTGATTCTTTGAGAGATTCGTTTATTCTTGAATTTTCCCCACATTTCATGAGTGTTGTTTGTTTTTCTTCTATTTCTTTAAGGGATTTCCACGTTTCCTCTTTGAGGGTCTCTATCATCTTCATAAAATAATTTTAAGGTCTGTTTCCTCTGCTTCTTCTACGTAGTGCATTTCAGGTCTTGCTGGCGTTGGTTTTCTAGATTCTGGTGGAGTCACGTTGGTCTTTCTATTGCTGAGTGAGCTCTTATTCTGTCTTCTTCCCATCTCTTCTTCAAGTGGGTGCATGTGGGGACTTTCCATCTCCACTGGTCTCCTTCCTTCCTGAAGCTGAAGCTGGGGATGCTGACACTGAAGCTGAAGTTGCAGGAGGTTGGGGCCTGGAAGGGCTGATGTCTTTCCTGTGTGGATGGGTCTTCTGGATCAAAAGCCCATTCTAAAGAGATCATGTGAGAGTCAAGGTATGTTCTTGTAGCAATGAGTTTTCAGATTTGAAATAAATCATGTACTTCCTATATTTATTACTATTTTAAAAGGGAGGAAAATGGAGTTATTATCATAAAGATAGACCTGAAGTCACCAATGTAGACATTAGGTACTGTATCTCCTCTCTGGCAATTTTCTCCTTTAAAAGTTTATTGTACATACCAATTCCAGTTACTTCTCCCTCCTGTCTTCCTACTCCCCTCACCATTTCTCCCCCACTCCCCAGAGAATTTTATGAATCCTATGGAGGAATCATCAAAGTCTATCACATCATTTGGGGCAAGACCAAGCATTCCCCCGCCCATCTAGGCTGAGTAAGGTATTTCTCCATAGGGAAAGGGCTCCAAAATGCCAGTTCATGCACTGGGGATAAATACTAGCTCCACTGCCAGAGGCACCATATAACTGCTCAAGACCCCAACTGACACCTACTTTCAGGGGGCATAGTTCGGTCCTATGCAGGTTCCCCAGCTGTCAGTCAAGATAGAGTTGTGAGCTCCCACTTTTTCAGGTCAGCGTTTTCTGTGGATTTCCCTTACATGTTCTTGACCCCTTTGTTCTTCACTCCTACCTCTGTACAAGTGGACTCCAGGAGTTTGGCCTAGTGCTTAGCTATATATCTCTGCATCTTCTTCTGTCAGTTACTGGATGAAGGCACTATGATGGCATTTAAGGTAGTCATCAATCTGATTATAGGGGAAGGGAAGCTAAGGTAACCTCTCCACTATTGCTTACATTCTTCTTTGGGTTCTTCCTTGTGGATTCCTTGGAATTTCCCTAGTACTGGGTTTCTTGTTAGCACCCAATGACTTCCTCTATTAAGGTATCTCTTTCCTTGCTCTACTTCTCTGTCCTTCCCCCAACTCGATCTTCCCAATCCCATCCCTCACATTTCCCCCTCCTCTGTTGCCCTCCCCACTTTCTTACTACCCACCATCTCCCCCCACGTTCTGGGTTCTTAAATCCATGGGGTGTGACTTCATTGGTTGTTCAACAAAGATGCAAATTGCCAAATTTATGGTATATTAAAAAAGCAGCAGGTTCAGATAAATAAAATTAAGGATGGATATAGTATTACAGATAATAGCAGAGAACAACCAAAGATCTCTGATGAATATAGATTAATAAGTTTAAGAAATAACAGCAAACTGAGTAGAATAGCCTACCAAAAGCAATTCTATAAAATGCATAGGTCCTGATGGAATTCTTCCAGGGTTATAAGCATGATTCAATGTGGGATGACTAAGTCCTAATGACCAGCCTACCTAGATCTTCCCTAAGAGCATGCATAGCAAATACTTCCTATAAGTCAGCCTGGGTCTGCCTGAGGGCCTTGAACAACAGCAGCCAATCCATAGTGAGAGATGGCATGGACCAAGGAGAAGCAGCTATGTCATATCAGCAGACGCCAGCACAACAGATCTATCTGCAGGAAGGTTAGGGTTATATAAGGAATTGCCCCTTTCTTAGTAAACTGTGCTTATGCTTTGACCTGCTTCTGGTGTCTGAGTCATTGGCACTGCATCTACTTGACCCCTTGGTCAACGGAGACCCATGGGACCCTGTTGCATTTCAAAATCTAAAAGTCAGTAAAAGGAGTGTATTACTTCAAGAGTGTTAATAAACAAAAATACGATCATTACAATGTACATAGGAAAAACATTTTAAAAAGGCATTCTTAAAAACAAATCACACTGTCAACTGACAATCTATAAAAAAACACCACACCTAAATATGTGAAAATCAATATTTGATCTTATCACTCTCATCTGTCTTGCAGGCAGGACTATGACACTAGGCCTAGCTTGAGCATACAAGATTTCAAAGCCCACCTACACAGTGACATACTTCTGTAGCACATTCTGTGGACTGGACCCTCCTATATCAACTGTTAATTAAGAAAATTATTCACGGGCTTGCCTACAGCCTGATTTTATGGATGGATTTTCTCAATGGAGGATTTCTTCTTCCAGATGGCTATAGTTTGTGTCAAGTAGACATAAAACTAGCAAGGATATGGACAACACAAATTCCAATTCTTGATACCATCCTAATGCCCCATTTTGCGTAATGATTCCCGAGCCTTAGGTTCCAGTGTTGTTCAGTACATGTATTTTATACAGTCTCTTTCTCTTTTGAAAAGTAAGTAGATCTCATACAAGTACAGAGAATGTAGTGGTCATTAAATTTTCAGGTACAGATAGTGTAGTACAAAGAATAGATAGTGGGTATCAAGTACAGTTGGTGACAAAGAATTGGTTCTATTGTTGGATAGCAAATGAAAGAAACTGCCATTGACAAAAATTTTAAGATAAATAAATATGAAAATGAAAGTAACCAGTACGGAGAAATAGTAAATATTTGAAGAGATGTAAAAATGACTAACATGTTTAGAATATGAAGCACTTCATAGATTTACCTAATTATGATATTGTACCTAAAATATGTACAAACACTGCATATCTCTTTTAAAATCGTGCTAAATAAAGTTAGTCTGGAGATATTTCTTCATACATATTTTGAAATATGACAAATATTAGCATTAATTATTCATTAAATATTTATCAAAATTGAGCAAGGGAGCCAGAAATCTTTTTTTGATCTGATATTCAAAATACTGCTTCAGTCTCCTTCTTGTTTTACTTGGGTTTCTTAATATTTCCTGAGTTTGTGTGTTACACTTTGAGTTTCTAAGAATATTTCCATTTTTCTAAGTTATCAGTTTTAGGGCAATATAATTGCTCATACTTGTCTTGTGTGATTTTCTTTCTTTCTGTAAAATCTGCTGTCATGTCCGTTCTTTCATTTTTGAGTTTTACTTTTCTTAGAAAAATACTCTCAGTTTGTATACCTAGCAAAATTTCTCTGTAAATGTATTTTATTAATAATTCAATCTGAAGTTTCTGTCTTTCACTTATTTCAAAAGACAAATCGTTTCAATTCTTCTGCATTGAAATATCTACAGTTACTTCACCTGTCTTCAGAGAATGAGTCATGATTCATATTTGACTTGCCAAAAGTAAAACCGAGAGAAATGTTCCTGCAATGAGCCACTGCATACATTTAATGTAAGAAAGGTTGTGAA